CAAGAAAAGAAAGCTAGAGATTCTACCAATAATCATTTTTTAAAAAAATCTTGTACTACTACTTTGAAAAAGTAAGGCATTTCAAGATAGACAATCCCTACTGTTTTGGGTTCTTTCTTTCTTTATTTATTTTTTTAAAAAAATAATGGATGACTTAGACCTTAGGAAGGTCAAGATTCAGAATTATCCACCTCATTATCAGAGAATAAAGGGCAGATATTTATCATATTCTCTTTTTGAACTGTGACCAATCCTTCAAAGAAACAGACTATAACATCTCTTCTGCCATAAATTAAACAGGGAAAAAATGTCAGGTACAGTTCTTTTTATCTTACAACAAGATATTATAACTTGATGGACAAGTTAAATGAAACTGGGCCAAAAAAAAAAAAAAAGTAGGAAAGGAGCAGTGTGTCAAAGGAAATTCTTGCTAGCATTGAAGTGAAGAGATTAGTCTAGCATTCCAGGATGGCAGATATTTGACTCCACCAAATATGATTCTAAGGCAGGAAGAAGACAGAGCGATATTGTGCTTTGACATAGTGCTTTAGGCTAGGATTTTAGCAATACAATAAGGGCAGGCTTTTCTTCCACATGAAATGCACTTAGCACAGAGACTGAAGAGTACAAATACAGCCATGTATAAATACAAGCTAGGGTTTGGCCAGAGAGTTCTCGGACTTGCATTTTTTTTCTGCAAATTTCTCTGATTTTCATCGGAATAGCCGCGCTTCTCTAGTTTTGCAGTGTAGTTCTCTGATTAAAAACAAACAAACACACCAACAGTCATACATGGGGCACAGCCCAGACAAAAATGTATAGATTCGTCAATATAGACAAATCGGTATTGAAACCTGAGCCATAGTAGACACTCAGACAGGCTTTTAAAGAAGTTAAACAGACACAAAAAAATGAGGCAAAACACATCGTGTGAAATGGAAAGATTCGGCCATTCCTAATTGAAGGGCTGGGTAAATTCATCTCATATTTTTTTTTTAAGCATAACGTATCTGCAGGCAGATCCCTGAATTTCGATTCTTTCCAAACCTTGTAGTCTTAAGATCCCTTTCCCTGGAGTTTCTCAGAAGCTAATCTACAACACTATGGTTGAAAAAGCTTTGTTCCATCATTGATCAATAGTCTTAGATGTTGTTCTTCAGGATGTGACTTTAAGGCTAGAAAGAAGGTCAGTTTTAGAATTAATGCCCTCACGGTCCAATTCTTAATATTACATTCTGGTAGAACAGTGATGGCGAACCTTTTAGAGACTGAGTGCCCAAACTGCAACCCAAAACCCACTTATGCATCGTCGAGTGCTGGGTGGGTGTGGCCCATTGGCTGGGTGTGACCAATTGGGTGGGCGTGGCCAATTGGGTGGGCATGGCTGCAGTGGTAACGGCAGACTGGGTGGGACTAAAGAGTTCAATCAATCAATTCCAACTTTGCAAGAACTTTTTTTTCCCGCGAGAAGTTGAAATTGACTGATTGAACCTTTTTTTTTTTTTGCACATGGCGGCGGAGGCCTAAAGTGAAAAGGTTTTATAAAACCCAGCTGAAGGCCTAGGACTGGGGCGACGACACACATGCCCACAGAGAGGCCTCTGAGTGCCGCTTCTGGCACCCGTGCCATAGGTTCGCCACCACTGTGGTAGAACATAACAAACCAATTGCATTTCTGTTGCTAGGCTTAAGCAACAGATTTCATACACTTCAATTGTGTTAATCTCTGAACTTGAATGGTGCAGTTTTCCTATGCCTACATGAATAATCTTAATCAGCCATTTATAATAATCTCCTTAAAATAGAGTTTATTTTAAAACAATTAATATTTGTTTACATGCAATCTAGATTGTCAGATGGCCGTACATTTTAAAATCTTAACATTTGCAATGGAAGCTAAGAGTCTCTCTCTCTCTCTCTCTCTCTCTCTCTCTCTCTCTCTCTCTCTCTCTCTCTCTCTCTCTCTCTCTCTCTCTCTCTCTCTCTCNATACTTTAGGAAGTAAGTGAATCAGAACTTAGCTTTATAGATTCAACTTTAGTTATCTTAAGCTTCCACTAATTCAACTCTTTAAAATGTCATCTGCCCTGTGACATTTCCAAAGAGGACAAGATATCTTGAGAAATTTGCTATCTACTGGAATCTCATCAAGAAAAGAAAGCTAGAGATTCTACCAATAATCATTTTTAAAAAAAATCCTGTACTACTACTTTGAAAAAGTAAGGCATTTCAAGATAGACAATCCCTACTGTTTTGGGTTCTTTCTTTCTTTATTTATTTTTTTAAAAAAATAATGGATGACTTAGACCTTAGGAAGGTCAAGATTCAGAATTATCCACCTCATTATCAGAGAATAAAGGGCAGATATTTATCATATTCTCTTTTTGAACTGTGACCAATCCTTCAAAGAAACAGACTATAACATCTCTTCTGCCATAAATTAAACAGGGGGAAAAAAGTCAGGTACAGTCCTTTTTATCTTACAACAAGATATTATAACTTGATGGACAAGTTAAATGAAACTGGGCCAAAAAAAAAAAAAAAAGTAGGAAAGGAGCAGTGTGTCAAAGGAAATTCTTGCTAGCGTTGAAGTGAAAGAGATTAGTCTAGCATTCCAGGATGGCAGATATTTGACTCCACCAAATATGATTCTAAGGCAGGAAGAAGACAGAGCGATATTGTGCTTTGACATAGTGCTTTAGGCTAGGATTTTAGCAATACAATAAGGGCAGGCTTTTCTTCCACATGAAATGCACTTAGCACAGAGACTGAAGAGTACAAATACAGCCATGTATAAATACAAGCTAGGGTTTGGCCAGAGAGTTCTCGGACTTGCATTTTTTTTCTGCAAATTTCTCTGATTTTCATCGGAATAGCCGCGCTTCTCTAGTTTTGCAGTGTAGTTCTCTGATTAAAAACAAACAAACACACCAACAGTCATACATGGGGCACAGCCCAGACAAAAATGTATAGATTTGTCAATATAGACAAATCGGTATTGAAACCTGAGCCATAGTAGACACTCAGACAGGCTTTTAAAGAAGTTAAACAGACACAAAAAAATGAGGCAAAACACATCGTGTGAAATGGAAAGATTCGGCCATTCCTAATTGAAGGGCTGGGTAAATTCATCTCATATTTTTTTAAGCATAACAAATCTGCAGGCAGATCCCTGAATTTCGATTCTTTCCAAACCTTGTAGTCTTAAGAACCCTTTCCCTGGAGTTTCTCAGAAGCTAATCTACAACACTATGGTTGAAAAAGCTTTGTTCCATCATTGATCAATAGTCTTAGATGTTGTTCTTCAGGATGTGACTTTAAGGCTAGAAAGAAGGTCAGTTTTAGAATTAATGCCCTCACGGTTCAATTCTTAATATTACATTCTGGTAGAACAGTGATGGCGAACCTTTTAGAGACTGAGTGCCCAAACTGCAACCCAAAACCCACTTATGCATCGTCGAGTGCTGGGTGGGTGTGGCCCATTGGCTGGGTGTGACCAATTGGGTGGGCGTGGCCAATTGGGTGGGCATCGCTGCAGTGGTAACGGCAGACTGGATGGGACTAAAGAGTTCAATCAATCAATTCCAACTTTGCAAGAACTTTTTTTTCCCGCGAGAAGTTGAAATTGACTGATTGAATCTTTTTTTTTTTTGCACACGGCGGCAGAGGCCTAAAGCGAAAAGGTTTTATAAAACCCAGCTGAAGGCCTAGGACTGGGGTGACGACGCACGTGCCCACAGAGAGGCCTCTGAGTGCCGCTTCTGGCACCCGTGCCATAGGTTCGCCACCACTGTGGTAGAACATAACAAACCAATTGCATTTCCGTTGCTAGGCTTAAGCAACTGATTTCATACTCTTCAACTGTGTTAATCTCTGAATTTGAATGGTGCAGTTTTCCTATGCCTACATGAATAATCTTAATCAGCCATTTATAATAATCTCCTTAAAATAGAGTTTATTTTAAAACAATTAATATTTGTTTATATGCAGTCTAGATTGTCAGATGGCCATACGTTTTAAAATCTTAATATTTGCAATGGAAGCTAAGAGTCTCTCTCTCTCTCTCTCTCTCTCTCTCTCTCTCTCTCTCTCTCTCTCTCTCTCTCTCTCTCTCTCTCTCTCTCTCTCCTCCAAGTCCTTTTAGATAGTACAAACCTTTGTTCTATGCATGGATATTTATTTGTTAATTGGTGAGGTTTATGCCCAGCTTTTTTAGGAGCTCAAGATGGCTTCAGTGATAGAAATTGGCAGGCAGAGCATAGCAAGATGTATTTTCCAAGATAATTCAAGAGATCAGCCAAGCAGGTGTTTTCGCAAGCTGCCCTAGAAACTAGAAAAATCTACTGAGCTTGCAAATGTTTTCTAGCTAAGGAAAGCATCTGCTCTTCTGATTATTTTTACATGCAATGCAATGAAAGGCGTCTGCTGCTCACTCATGAAGCTTCTCAGGAATATGAATTACTAAACACATCTGTGAGGCCGTACCAGGAAACACTGGCCTTGCTCCAAAGTTTTCACTTAATCATAACTAAACAGTATCATTTTACTGTAACAAAAATGATACGATGTTTTATTGATTATAATGTATGGACCCACCAGAAGGAAGGCTTTCTTAGTTCCAGCCCTGCAAGGTAGGACATGCTTCCAGAACTTTCCTTCCACCTCTGCCCCTAATATATTTCCAAGGAAGATATCTTGCTCCCATAATGTACACTGATTCAATAATGGTCAATCTGAGCAGGTAAGCATCTTGATCTGAAAGAAGGAGCTTCTGGAGAACGTAGACCTCTGCTCCAGGACTTGCCTTATTTTTTCCCAGTTTGACCAGTTTAGCAAAGACTAACGGTGGCCAATCCAGTCTAGTTATTAAGAGATCCAGCGGAAAGGAATAAAAAAAAAAGCAACACATTTTGAAAGAAAAGAAAAACTAGAAGAAAACCTCAAAAAATTATCAATCTTAGCCAAATGAATGAAAAAAAAAAATCACCTCTGAGTTCTTACCTGCCATGACAGATGCAAAAGGCTGCTGAGGGTCAAAGGGACATTTCAGTCTGCCAGATTCCAAGTTGTGAGAATTAAATCTGAACGTGACATCCTGCATAGAAAGAAGACACGTCCATTAGTTCAATGCTTCAGGTGGGAGGCAGTCTGTATTTAAAGAGAGTCAGTTGTTATACTGTTGAATTAGGACTGAGAAGATCCAGAGTCTGAGGAGACCCAGGAAACACCTCAGCCATGGAGGTTCTGGAGCTGATTTGGTTCCCGGCCCTACTTTTTTTCTCTGTTGGGAGAGAATATTGAAGGAAAGAGTGTTATGTACTTCCTCTTGGAGTTAAAGCCAGATAAAGAAGAGAAGAAGAAGTAAAGTAGATTATGAGTTTCAATCTGCTTTACAGATGTCTGTAACTAATGTAGAGTTTGCATGCAGAGCTCTGTTTGAAGAAGCTCAATTCCTAAGAGCCTTTGTTCAAATGCTCTTCACCCTTCCCTGAGTTGACACAAAGCTCTACAGATACATTTGCTGTCTCCACCACTGATTTTTCCTGTCAGAAAAAAAGAGAATATTCTCTTTTAACACTGGTACAGCTGAGGATGGGCCAGGAAAGAGCTGAATAGAATATTCTAGCAAGGTGGCTGAGAAAAAAAAATTGCCAATTGGGTGCAAGTGGAGACATGATTAATTTGGTCCGCGTACACCTCCATTGACTACACTGATATAATTATAACCAAACACATAATTATATGTATTTTAGACCAAAGCTAGCCTAGTTAGCACTTCCCTTGCCTATATTCTGGCTACATAAAGACAGTTTGCCTCAGTCATAACCTACCTGTCCAGCAGTGACAGAGTAAAAGAAATGCCGCAAAAGAAAACAGGCTTTTAAAAGCAACCCAGAAAAGTATTTTCAGTTTTGTAGAAAGGACGGAGGGTGCCAGAGCAATTCAGTTACGCTTCAATGCAGAACTGAGCCGAGTTACGCAACCTAACAACCGCCAGCAAATGTTTGGAGCTCCGGTTCTTCTCGTTTCCAATTGGCCCAACTCATTTATAATGCATTCGGTCCAAATTAATCATTTTAAATGGTGCCCTTCCCAGGTCAGCGCATAAAGAAGAACTGGGAAGGAAAAGAAACAAAGGGCTATGAACGGCGTTTTCCCTCTGGAATCTCCATGATCCAAAATGGCATCTCTTTAATGCTGAGCAGAACAAAGATCAGAGAAGAGCCTTTGGTTGTGGATGGCTACAACTCTCCCAGAATTATGCCCTCTTAGAGAGCTATCAGCTGGCCAGTTTTCTCTGGGAAACTTAACAAAATGAACAGGACAGTGACAGCTTCTAATCCTTCTGCACTTACATCGGTGTGTTTATTATAGGTATGGCCAAGAGACTTCTATGGAATTTAGATTAAATTTGGCATGAACTTTAGTGGCAGCCAGCCTAGACTCGTAATCTCATCGTGCAAAAATATGCGAACTTCTTGGAAAAGGATTTAGAAAGCTTAAAATCAGGTCGAGAAGGAATCTGCTCTCCAGCCAGACATTTATTTTTTCTACAGAACGTTATCGGCAGGTAGCCCTGAGGCTGACCAGTAGGTAGGGAGGGAAGAACGGGCGGCATCGAGATTAGAGTCTAGACACCGCCAAGAAATTGTGGTCATATTTCTTGATAATTAACAAAATTAATATAGCGGTTACCTAGCCTTTCCAAGATACAGAACAAAACAGAAAAAAAAGTGGTGCTACTGTAGGTTTTCTTTATTTATGCAGAGGAAAAAAAATACAGTTCTAAGACAACAGAGATAAAGTATTTCTACTTTGCTTTCCGTTTTGGTTTAGTCGCAGTGTTTCTCAACCTTGGCAACTTTACGATGTGTGGACTTCAACTCCCAGAATTCTCCAGTTAGCGTTGCTAGCTGGAGAATTTTGGGAGTTGAAGTCCACACATCATAAAGTTGCCAAGGTTGAGAAACACTGGATGATGACCAAATGTTTCAGTTTCACAGCAGATGTTTAGTAACAATTTTCCTCCTCCTCCTCCTCCTCCTCCTCCTCCTCCTCCTCCTCCTCTTCCTCTTCCTCTTCCTCTTCCTCCTCTATCTCCATCTCCATCTCTATAACTATTGAATATGTACTTTGCAATTCTAATTTCACCTCTCATCTATAATGCTGAGAGATGGACAATATACACAGAGTGGCTTCAAGGAGAAACTTCGCTCAGCAGGCATCAAAAGTAGAATGATCCAGCTTCAGACCGAAGAATCTGCCCAGAGCCTATTCAGAAAGGATTCGGCATTTCCCTTTCATTTATAACCACCCCCTGCTAGCCGAAGGTCCTGTAAGGCATCCAGGCTAAAATGTGCTCTTGAGGCTATTAATCATCTGATAAAAGCAAGTCTGTACCGAACCACATTAATCACCTCATCTGAGCCAGAGGTTTGCCAACATACCAATATTCAAAGATGTGAGAACATGAGTTCTTACATGATTTGGTAAAAACGTCACACCCGCCTGGTTGTCAGCAGTGGCTGTCAGATCATTTTTATAAGGCCTTAGATTCTCTCTCGCTCTCGCCCTCTTTTTTAAATTTTCCACGGAAATGATGGATGCGAGGAAAAGTCATGGCCCATTTGGGGAAGGATTAAATTACCTCTTTGTGTGTTCCAAGCTCAATGTAGCCACAGACTGGGTGAAAAGCTCCTGTACCGCAGACATAAACATGAGTCTTGTTGTAGGGCTGAAGGACTCTGATAAAGTTGGCACATTCTGTCTATTGTGAAAAGAAGCACAGACCATATCAACTATTATTAACCTCCAGAGGACAGTTCAATATGCCATACAATGCTAAGGGAAGATACAAAGGACCCTGAGCAAATTGCATTTATCTTGTAAGATTACCAGCTTGTGAATAGAGTTCATTATATTTAAAAATAACCGTTGCTCTCACACCCTGCTTGGAGTTTTTTGTGTCGCCTGAATCAATAAAGCATTGCTACTCTCCCGAGAAAGGAGACTCACAAGGGGATGGAAAGGATAATGAAAACTGGTGCACCTCTTTGAACACCCACTTGCTTATTGTACCCATGAAAGCTCAAACAATGGGCCTGCTTGTGAATTATAACAAGGTCAAACCGAACTGGCAGGAAGATGGACACACGTAGCAAGATGTGATAGGAACAGACAATGGCAGGAAAAAACGGATATTAAGCAGCTTCATCTCAGAAGACTTACAAACATATTGATTGCTCATCGGATTGGTTTTGATGTTTGAATTTAGCAGATTTATTTTTTTTTTCATTCCCCACCTTCTCGAATTAAAAGTTCTCTAGAGTAGGTTTCTGATTACCCTGTGGGAACTAACCATTCCTTTATGCCATCTCCGGAGGCGCTCTCTTTAAATCAACCACAAAGGACAGCAAAAACTGGGCTCTTTGCTGTCATATCAATTTGGAAGTCTTCCCTTCTTCGTGTCCTGTGCTCAGGTCTTGCTCAAGTTCGGCAGAAATCAAAAGAGTTGAGGAACAGACTGTGCCTGAAGTCAACTCCTGTTGACTTCAGAGGACTGATGGTGGAAACTGGGGATCTGCTTACTGCAGATTATTCTCTAATGCAGGCTGCCCTTTCGCTTTAAGCCAGTGTTTGTCACACAGCAGCGTCTGAGCGTGTCTGCGTGATTATTGTCCTCAAAACTCATCCCGTAGCCTTCCCCAACATCTGCTGGGTCAGATCCCTGATTAAAAATATTTGTTAGAAGGAGAATACAAAGGAAGCCTGCCTTATCACAGATTTCCCTCCTATTCATTAATCACACTGGGGGCATTTCCAGGCAGAGCAGCATACAGCAACTACCATTACTACTTTTTTCTTTTAATAACTTTCATTTGAATTTTGGATGTATTTCACAGCCCGCCGTGCAGCAAATCCCTTATTCTGCAAGAAATATGGATAGAGATACCAGGATTTTTTGGAACCAGAAAACTTCTCTTCGTGATCCGAACTTTTTGACTTATCCTTCTGTTTTCTCAAGTACAGCCAACTTGGTCAGAAATGGCAGAGCCACACAGCAGAAGCACCAGCAAGTCGGGCAGAATTCATTTTTACAACTCATTTATCCACAATCCTTCTGGAGTGGCCGGCAACAGGAAACATCCCTGAACCCCACATTTTAAGTGTCGCTGGTCTCAGTAGAAATCAAGGCCTTCCAAAAGCAGGACTTTTACAAGTCAAAGCTGCAAAGGGCACATTGTAAAAGCAGGTCACATGGAAACTTGGAAGAAAGTCCAGGCAGATGGATCCATGTCGTAGTGGGTGGAGTGGCCAGAACTGGCTGGATAGTGTTTTACTAGCCCAGGGGTAGACAACCTTGGCTCTTTTATGACTCGTAGACTTCAACTCCCAGAATTCCTGAGCCAGCGTAGCTGGCTCAGGAATTCTGGGAGTTGAAGTCCACGAGTCATAAAAGAGCCAAGGTTGCCTACCCCTGTACTAGCCAGACAAAAACCCCATGATTAGCTGAGCAGGATGGGGCATATCAGCATGGCTTGGTAGCGGAGGAAGTCTCTGTGAAACACAGACCGCTCTTTGGCTGCCCGTTGCTTGCTCGTTCCAAAGGATGTGGTCTAGAAGGGATGCTGAGGCCCAAGGAGAAAAAGATTGCTGCAACCCTCATCTGGCTAGGTCTACAAGGGTGAACTAAAAAAATGTCACTACAGGAAAGGGGAGAGGGAAGGCATGCTCCACCACTATTCCTGGATCTTGAGACGATCTGAAGTTTCCTGCAATCTAGGAATAAAATGGCACCTGTAGATGTGAGGGAAAGTTCATCTCAACCATCTGCCATGAGAAGGGATGGAGGGAGAGGGAGAGGGGGAGAGGGGGAGAGGGAGAGGGAGAGAGAGAGAGAGAGAGAGAGAGAGAGAGAGAGAGAGAGAGAGAGAGAGAGAGAGAGAGAGAGAGAGAGAGAGAGAGGACATAGTTCAGACAGAACAGGAAGAGAGTGGCATTCAGGCACTGCATCAAACAAATACATCATAATGAAAATTTGTCTACAGTGAATTCTCAACAGCTAGATTGGCCTCAAAGGGAGGACAATCGGCTGGAAAATCAATTTAAGTCACTTATGGTGTGGGAGTCTGAGAAAAGATCTGGCAGTTGATGTTACTGAAGATGTTTCAATATTGACTTTGAAGAGGGACAATATAGGCTGAAAAAAAGGGGGAAAAAATACGTCCAGGTGATGTATGAGAAGAAGCAGGTTTCGGCTTTTTCAATTCCATCTTCCTTTCTCTCTTTCTGATCATTCTAAAGTGGCCTCTTGCAGCAAATTACATCTTCATAACGTTTCCACTACAATATTCCACATATTGTAATGTCATTAGGGGATTAACGACGAAAGAGGGTTTTTTTAGCAAAAAGAAACAAAATTCAGAATACAAGAAGGAAACATAAAAGAGAAAGGAGAGTGAAATGAAATAATTCAAGTTTCAAAAAAAAAAAGCATTCTGATCCTTCTTCAATATGCATTGGTCAGCCTGCGCCCAAAACCTTGTGTCTAATTCTGGACATCACATTTTAGGAAGGCCATGGATGAACTGCAGCTTGATCAGAGATTTCATTCCAAAGAATGGAAGGGTTGAATGTAGTTGGGCTACAAAGAAGAGAAACCCACAAGAAGCCATGATAACTTTGTCTAGCATCATGTAGAAGAAGATTGGACAGGATTACTCAGATTTTTTTTCCAGAAGACAAAACAACAACAACATGGGTTTAAACCAGGAATGTCCAACCTCGGCAACTTTAAAATCTATGGACCAATGCCCAGAATTCCTCAACCAGTCTTGCTATCTGGGAATTGAAGTCCTTGAGTCTTAAAGTTGCCACGGTTGGACATTCCTGGTTTAAACCGTTAGATTCTGATTAAGGAGAGGCTGGATAGTTATTTTTGTATCTCCTGGACTAGATGAACTTAAGATCCTTTTCAAGTTATCCACTCTTATTCTGTGAAATAATAAATCTTGGAGGGAACAAAGAATATATTCAAGTGGGTTTTCCATGACAAAGGACAATAATGCTTTTTTTTTCTTCTGTCTGATTTCCATTTGCATGATTGGGCTGCCATGAGATGGCGGTGTGGGCTAACTACTCTTGGCCAAACCAACATCTGAATGCAACATCTTCTTACAGGCCCTGTCGGTGTCAGGAGCAAAGAGATTTAAAAGCATTGAAAGATGCAGAAGAAATCTTCAGCACAGCACGAATCCAAACAAAAATGGCTCCTGCTTTGACGGTGGCAACACTTTTGACTAATCGTTTTATTTATTGCTGCAGGAGAAATTAATGAGCTTCTTTTTGTGGTAAAGGACACACAGCCCTTTAAGTGCAGCCAGCAGCAAGCCCCTTCTATTTTAGGGTTTGGGGTGGTGCAAACTGGGCTGAGTAAACCATGAGTCAGATAACCCTCAGAGACGACGTTATGCCAACACCACCATGAGATCAACAGCAGAGACTTTGCTAGATCAAATAAAAGAGAAGTTAACAACCAATTTCATTTCAAGTCACCTGATTCCACCAATGTACAGATTGTAATCGTAAAACTGAGGGGGGAAAAAATAAAATATACTTACATGGGCATCTTTCCCGGCTAGTTTACATAAATCCACTTTTTCCTTTGCTGCGGGCCAAAATATCTGCAATTCATTTAGAAACGGGTCTTAGGATCAGATGATTTTGTTATTCTTGACTTAAAATATATTTATACATTCACTTCTCTATTACATCAATGCAAGCATGATACAGTATATGACTAAACCTCCACCACCCTCTGTGCAGGCCCAGACCTACATTAGGGAAGGAGCTGGCCTAAAACATGGACAGGACCCCTGGTGACCCTCCCCAGCTGAAAGATGTCATTTGACCCCCACAGCAATCCCATGAATAAAGACTAATTTTGCAAAGATTTCAGGCATGGACAAGAACGATGCGTAAGTTTTTAAAACACTGATTGTCACCGGATTTTCCTGGCTTTCACTATGCTAAAATCCTATGTGAAAGAAGGTAAAATATTTAACAAGCATTAAGCACATTCAATAAAATAAAATATGAAATCAGCAGCTACATTTAAAATTAAAATTCTTATATAAAGCCCTGCAAGCATTAAAAATGGTTTTGCCTCATGGAGAAGCATCCATTAGTTGGGTGTATTATCTATATCTCAAAACATATATAATTGCGGGGAAATGAAATGCCTGAATACCTTAAAAAATTACATTTTGTCTTCCATGTCCTCCTCCTATTTCCCACCCAACTGCCTTAGATTATTATTTTTTCCCTTTTTTTTAAAAAAAGGGTTTTATTTCATTTATTGGGTAGTTTAATTTAGGGCTTTATTTTTGAGAAAGACTAGGTCTAAGAATACTGTTCCCAGATTACATTCTATGCCTACATCAAAGCATGCCTTGATAATTAATGACTGTAAAAATAAAGATAAAAAACACTTAGAATAAACTTTGAGCTCTGTTACTCACATTCACTTATAACAATACTTAGTTGTAAATATATACAACTTTATGATGTAATCACTATTTAGGCCTACTCAAGAGTATGAATGGGGCCTGGTCCCTAAGGATGTACATTTTGCTATCGCTAGAAAAAATTGTGCCAAGTTTATTTATTTATTTATTTATTTATTTATTTATTTATTTATTTATTTAATTAATTAATTAATTACATTTATATCCTGCCCTTCTCCTTGCGGACTCAGGGCGGCTAACAATTAGATAAAATACAAAAATACAATACACCTTTAAAATTAATTAAAAAGAAATATTTAAATCTAATCTGATTAAAAATAGTTAAAACCCCTTTAAAATCCCTTTAGGCCAGTCCCACAAGCTGGAACAACCATGTCTTGAGGGCGTGGCGGAAGGAAGGGAGATCAGGGATCACCCTGATCTCTGGGGGCAGTTCGTTCCAGAGGGTGGGAGCTCCCACAGAGAAGGCCCTCCCCCTTGGGGTCGCCAGCCGGCACTGTCTGGCTGACGGCACCCTGAGGAGACCCACTCTGTGGGAGCATACATGTCGGTGAGAGGTAATCTGTGGCAGGAGGCGGTCTCGAAGGTAGCCAGGTCCGATGCCATGGAGCGCTTTAAAGATGATAGTCAACACCTTGAAGTGCACCCGGAAGGCCACCGGCAGCCAATGCAGCTCGCGCAAAAGCGGCGTAACATGGGAGCGACGAGTCCCTCCCAACACCGCCCGCGCGGCCGCATTTTGAACTAGCTGGAGCCTCCGGGTGCTCCTCAAGGGGAGCCCCATGTAGAGAGCATTACAGTAGTCCAGGCGGGAAGTGACAAGGGCATGAGTGACCGTGCATAAGGCGTCCCGGTCCAGAAAAGGCCGCAACTGGTGAATCAGGCGAACCTGATAAAAAACCTGACAGTTTATAACTGTCGTTCAATGACATAAATTTTAAATTTTGGCTTTGATTTCAACTGTATCCGTTTCATTCTTATTGTTTATGTTCTTTTTTTTCCTTCAGATTGTTGCAAACTACCTTCAAAGATGGTATAAAAACAAAAGGGCAGGGTGTGAATGATCCCAGTGCACATATCTCAGGGGCTGCCCCAAAGAAGAGGGAGTCAAGCTATTCTCCAAAGCGCCTGAAGGCAGGACAAGAAGCAACGGATGGAAACTAATCAAGGAGAGAAGCAACCTAGAACTAAGGAGAAACTTCCTGACAGTTAGAACAATTCACCAGTGGAACAACCTGCCTCCAGAAGCGGTGAATGTTCCAACACTGGAGGTTTTTAAGAAGAAACTGGACAGCCATTTGTCCAAAATGGTATAGGGTTTCCTGCCTGAGCAGGGGGTTGGACTTGATTACCTCCAAGGTCCCTTCCAACTACTACTACTACTACTACTACTACTACTACTACTACTACTACTACTACTACTACTACTACTACTACTACTAATTATTATTATTATTATTATTATTATTATTATTATTATTATTAGTATTATTGTTGTTGTTGTTGTTATTATTATTATTATTATTATTATTATTATTATTATTATTATTATTATTATTATTATTATTATTATTATTATTATTATTATTATTATTATTATTATTATTATATTCTGGAGAGAGAAAGAGAAGTTCCCTCAGAATGGGCTCTAGCACGAGTCTCAAAGCTTGGAAGAATAAAACCTTTAGTCCTGGTGACTGACTTGCACTGGATCCTGAGTTGGTTTAGCCTTTAGAAACATCAACCAAGTCATCACCCTTTTTGAAATAGGCTGATTCTCTCTTGTTCTAGATCACAGGACATAAGCTTTTGGGAGGCAGATTCAAAGTGACTGTTGGGGGATGGAAGGAGCCTTTATAATATAGTACCGTATGATCAATCCAGAAGGCTGGTGGCTTTCTTCACCAAGCGGAAACTAGATCAGTGATGGCGAACCTTTTAGAGACCGAGTGCCCAAAAACTGGCTCCGTCCCGCTTCACCCCCGCCCCCATTCCACCCCCACCCCGTCCCCCACCCCACCTGCCCACAGGGCCACTCACCGCCTCCAGGGCCCGCTGCAGTTTGCCCAGGCAGCCCAGCAGTGCCATGGTGGCCACACCCTCTGCCCGCGCCCCACAGCATCAACTGTGCGTGATGGGGTGTGAGGGCAGAGTCTTGTCTACGCTGCCTGGCTGCCATGTCCTTGGCTGCGCTGCTCCATATGGGCCACACTTGGGGGCGACTCTCCTCCCAGGGGGTTGCTGGTGAGGAGGGGATCACAGGGGGAGGGCGAGGCTGGGGCAATGGCACGTGTGCCCACAGAGAGGGCTCTGAGTGCCGCCTCTGCCATCTGTGCCATAGTTTTGCCACCACTGAACTAGATGGTCATCTGCCCAGGACAAACTGAGGCTAGATTCAATAATTCCTTCCAACTCTCATATTCTGTGGCTCTAGGATATGAAGCAGTGGCTCCTTTTACTCCTGTTTCACTGCAGGTGGCCTTTGACACCAGGAACAATATGTAACTCAGACCTCATGATCATCATGGCCATCAATAAGCTTTTCCTCTGTGGGATCCCCTGCAGGAGGAACAGGATCCTCCAGATGGAAGGGGAAACACCAGGCATTCCATAAATCTGGAGCTAATGAGCCACACGTGATGGGAGCAGTGGATATTTTCATTGGGTTGATTTACGATTCCTTTTCAAAAGGAAAGCCGAGACAGTGAGGGATGGCTCAGAATGTTCCCGTTGTATTTTTTTTTTTTAAATGACCGCGGCTTTAATACTGAGATTGTAACTCAACTTATAAGTGAGGCTGCAACTGACAATATGTAGAGCGGCACGTTTTTCCGCACAGAAAACTAGTAGCTCACCTAGTGATGGATTTACCACTGTCCACATGGGTGGAATGAAAGTGTCAGATGGCTACAGAAGAGGAGAATGGAAATCAGATGTGGGGGGTTTTTTGGGGTTTGGCTTCAAAGAGCAAGTCATGGCTTGAGTCTCTCTCCCTAATGCTGAGATTCTCCAGCTATATGTACAGGGGCTGAAATGTGCTTGAAAAATTAAGCTACTTGTATGGCTCACTCGTCTTTATTCCTTTTGACAGAGAATTCCCAGGTGAATAGATCCCCCCCCCAGTACCAATTCTAAGCCATGTTAGCCTATGACAGACAGAAATCAGAAGGCATATGGCCAGTAGCTTTATTGACTGACAAATTTTATTAAGAGGCATAGGGGTTCATGAGTTCAGCTCATCAAAGTGTATGCTTCTTAGTGAAATTGCTGGTTAACAAAGATGCTACCAGACTCCTTCTGAATCTTCATGGCTCATGGATGACTCCAATGGAAAGTACTGAACTAACTATTTTTATTGATTTGTTTATTAGGTTTATATGGCCACCCATGTTTCAAAAGTGACTCTGGGTGGCATACAACAATCAAGTAAAACAATATATAAAAATAATCATTATAAAATATAAAAACCATGATTTACATTGAAATAGGCAAACCACAAGGAACAGCAAAGAGTGAATAGCAATAGCACTTAGACTTATATACCGCTTCGTAGTGCTTTACAGCTCTCTCTAAGCTGTTTAAAGAGTCAGCACGTTGCCCCCAACAACCTGGGTCCTCATTTTTTTTTTAAAAGAAAATTTTATTGATTTTCTAGTTTTACATTTAAATATTTGAAAAGCAACGTGGCAGCTGAGTTGGTCAATAATTCGGTAACATTAACTCTAGAGATTAAAAATAAAAATAAAACTGAAACAGAGTATTATGAAATTTGGAAAAATTTATACGATTGCTAAGAGATAAGGAGGATCACTGAGATGATTATCGATTGACTAGTTGATATCATAAGGACTTCTCATTAGTACCTATATTAGGACACAACTGAAAGATATGTAAATACAACATTGACGATTGAAAGATGGTTTATCAAAAAATTTACAGATGTTATACGCACAGTTTGTTATACTCTGTCCTGTTATAGCAGTGGTTCTCAACCTTTTTAATGCCACGACCCCCAACCGGTCGTAAGTCGAGGAGTAAACCGGTCGTAAGTCGAGGAGTAAACCGGTCGTAAGTCGAGGAGTAAACCAGTCGTAAGTCGAGGAGTAAACCGGTCGTAAGTCGAGGACTAAACCGGTCGTAAGTCGAGGACTACCCAA